GGGAAGGAAAGATGGCTGGCACCAAGAGCAGAGGCCCCCAAACCAAGCTGCATCCCAAGATGCTAGAACCGGGGCCACCTGCAAGTCTGAAAGAAGTCACAGATGTGAACGCTACTTTGCTCAGCTGGTGAAGTACGTAAGAGACTTCCCCCACCCCACTGCAAAGGCTGCTGCTATTACAGTCATGAGACACCTGTACCATTTCACTCACTAGACTGGTAACTCTTTGAAGGTAAGACTGTGTCTTATTCTGCTTGGGTCCTTGGAAGGCCAAGCTCAGTGTAAGTAGACCTCATAGGTGGTGGTTCAGAAAATTTGAGAGATGGAACTAATCACCCTTGTTGGTGATATGGCCATGCCTGCCTGATAATATATGTACTTTCTGCCATGAACTAATATATTTTGGAAAATAATATTCACATAATGTTCTTTTTTTCCCCCATTAGCAGACCTTTGCTTAGTAGTGTCCAAAAGATGCTCCATCTCCTTTATAGGTAGAGTTAAGGCCTCTCTCATGCAAAACAGCACTTCTGGGTCTCTTTGCCCTACTCTCTTAGAGGACTGATACGCACAAAGTTCTCTTGCAGTGAATAGGAGATCCCACCTGATCCTCATTAAGGCAGAGTGGGGTCAGGAAGGAGGAGTGAATGATGTAGGGGAAAGACGGGAAAAGATCAAGATCATCCCTGTAAGCCCAGAGATGAAGAAGCAATCTAGAGAAGAGGGAGGGAGGGATGAGAGTGTGTCTTCTATTAGACAACTTGAATAGAGTGCCAACAACTCTGTCTGGGTCTCTGTTCCCCATCACGAAGCACTGACCACATGGCAGACACTGGGGTCCCTTCATAACTACAGCCTGAGCCCAGCTGGGCTTAAACTGGGATTCAGAGGCTGGTTGGGTTGGTTCTCAGTTGTTGGGGTTGCAAGTTTCCTATGCATGTGTTTAGAGTTGATATGCAGTGGAAAGAAAAGGCCTTTGAGAAGGATAGGCATGATTCCTGGAGGACAGAGACAGAGCTAGAGAAGACTGCAAGGTGTTTGGCTCTGCAGCGGAAGGCCAAGGCCAGTTTATGCAGAGAGGTTGCAAGCCGATGCTGGAGGGCTGGGTTTCTTTAGCTGCGAAGCATAAGCGGAGTCCTTCTGAGCTTAGGTGTGACTCAGTATGGGGGAGGGTCATATCCCTGGTTTTTCATGAGGCAAGCTTGGCTTCTTCAGGGACTGTGGCCTAGAGGGACTGGGATGGACTGAGGTGGGTAAGAGAAATGTCCTAAAGTAATGTAGGCATTGACTGTGAGCAATGTGTTAATACTGCCTCATTTATAACCATCAGCTACTGAAGCCTGGGGATATTTGAGGCACAAATGCTTTCTCCCATTTAATTCTCATTATAACCTATGATGTAGGCATTATTATCACAACTTTCCTGATGAGGAAAGTGAGACAGAGGCAAGGCTGAGTAATTTGCTCAAGTGACCCCATTAATAAGTGGTTAGACCGGGGACTGACTTCAATAGGCACCTTTCAGCTACATCTCCAATACTGCTTCCCAGAAACCACACTTGACATTTCAGATGACACACCCACTTGGGTTACTGGGGAGGCTGAGCGCCCTCTTAAGGCAGAAGTCATGGGGGAACAACCATGTCCTCACAACACCATTGGTATTTTGGAAGGAATTTTAGGCTTTATGAATGATGTCCTTTCCCAGGGAGACATTTCTAGCATTCTCTGGGGAGATAATAAAGGACCAGCTAGGGAATTAGAAGAACCCTAGAGTCCCAAGAAAGGGAGTCATCACTGAATGACAGCAATAATGCTTCCTCTTGGAGCTGCAGAGAACTTTATAGTTTCCAGAGCATTTCCTCTCATATCAGTTCATTTGGAAGTTCACACACACACACACAAAACCTCTGTGAAGCAAAAGCTTGTATGTCCATTTTGCAAATGGGGAATGAAAGTCAGAGAGCTTCAATGACTTGCCCAAGACCACAGGGTTGGGAGAATCAGGCTAGAAACCTGGTCAACAGAAACCCAGTTCAGGATTCCTTCCCTTTAACCATGGTGGGTGACTTGTCTTCATCTAATGCAGGCTGGTACTGTGACTCAGCCAGCCAGAGGTCCAGACATTAGGGTGGTGCCTGAAGATAATGAAACATTCAAATGAGAGACACGATCCAGAGTGCAGTACCAGCCACAGAGCAGCACCACCTTCATTCAAATCCTGGCATTTCATAGACATACAGGCTGATTATAGATTAGTTTCCCAGAGACTGATACATGAAAAACTAGTTTCACCATGAGAAGCAGTCTGTGGTCATGTAATACACATTGTATCCTTCATCTATTAGAGTAGTGATTCTTGGTTTTTTTTTTTTTTTTTCTTTTTTAAATAGAGACAGGGTTTTGCTACGTCCCCCAGGCTAGTCTCAAACTCTTGGCATTAAGCAATCCTCCTGTCTCAGCTTCCCATATTGTTAGCATTACAGGCATGAGCCACTATGATGCATATTAAAGGCTCTGTAATATCTTTAAGAAAAGCAGAAAACAAAAAACAAAAAACCTGTTTGACTGTGTTTAACTAAAGGTTTCCAAATTTATTTGAACATAAAATCTTTTTTTTTTTTTTTTAAGGTAACACCTATTAGCAGCTCATGGAACTTCTAAGAACAACTTGTTTTCTTAAGTTGCTGAATTAATGGGTTGATTTATGCCATATGGGCAGAATCTTGGAAATGTTTTATGGTTTTGTATTTAAGCCTGAAGCCTCAGGAGATTATCTATCTATCTATCTATCTATCTATCTATCTATCTATCTATCTATCTTTCTATCTAAGTTGTAAAAGGCAGTGTATTTATAAATAGGTCTTGGTGCTAGTTATTTCATAACTCGAATACTCAGGGATAGACTGTACTCATGCAAGCATGCTAAAATTCATAAATTAAAAATGGAAGCCCATTGTAATATTAATAAGACTTTAAATATTGGTTAGTTTTCTGGTAATTCACGAAGAATAAATGTCAAGGAGAGCTATGAGTCTGTCTGCTGTTGCATGATGGCATACAAGACTTGAGAAAATGTATCATTTGAAGGTCTTAGAAATGAGCAGGGTTGACATTTTATGCAGGTCATTTATCATCTTCCTACCTATGGATTACAGCAGACACTTGACATTCATGATGATTTCCTGAGACCTTATGACTTCCTTAATTGGCAAATACCACTGGAGTCAATCACATCCCTCATAAAACCTTTTAATTCTGACCCAAACTATCATGTTCATGGAGGGCTTCATTTCTTCCTTCTCATTTATCACCAGGGCCATTTTGAACTTGGTAATTGACAAAAGAGGACACGTAGTTATGAGGTGGGGGCCAGACTTCTGGACTAACTGAGTAACTCCACCCTCCATGTCAGTTTTGCTAGGGGATTTGAATTTATGTTTCAAAAAAATGGTGAATGCCTACATGCAATGGACTGTTGAAGTTGTGCATAATTAGCCCAAACTGTGAATATAAATCTGCAAATGCCAAGCATCTTCTTTTGTCTGGTTTTTGGACATCTTCTATCCTCACCATGAGCTGGGAGGCAGGAGGATAATCTGGCTTCAGGAAGGAAGAAAATGTTTGTAGTTCTGGAAACTCCAGCTCATTTTTGCCACTGCCAGACAGCCTCCACAGCAGGGTTTGTTTGAACCCCAAGGGCAAGGATATCTCAGCAGCTTCAGGGGGTGACTGCATACTTTGGTGAAAAGTCCCAGTGAACTCTTGGTTTAAGCTAAAAGGTGAGTTTTCCTGAGCTGAGTAAATAGGATTGTACTGTACTTGAAACTGCAGCCCGATTCTCCCAACTTCCAACAACACTGTGCTTTCTAATATTAATCTCTAAGGCCACCTTTCCCGTGGGTCATCAATTTTATCTTTGAGCTCAGAGTCTTAGACAAAAGTTGTTTTTCTTAAAATTTGTGATTATTATAATATCAAAGTAAAAGGGCAGGAAGATTTTATCAGACTTGGAAGCTCTCCCTGGATGAATTTCACAGATATATATGGTTGTTGAAGGCACAGATTAAGACACACACAAATTAAGATAATCAGGAAACAGAAGGACTGCCCAGAGGCCAGTCTGGGGGCTTTAAAAATACCATTCAGTTTTGATCAGGTGAAAGAGCTGAAAACATTAAAACCCCTCAAAGATGAATCAGCTCCTTTACTTATGTGGAAAGCACACTGATATTTAAACATGTGGATATTTGGAATGTTCTAGTGTTCATCAGGATGAGTAATGTCATCTAACAAAAGAGCAGATTCTAAAGAACTCAGAGTAGATCCAAAGTAGGAATATAATTTACTTTTGCTCCTTATAATCTTAATCTGAGTAGGCACTACAGGTCTGAGGGCTACTGGTGACCACAGCCACTAAAGACACTTGCATGTCTATTGAGGAGGTGGCAGGAGTTTACTTTTGGGAAAGTCTACTTGAGCCTCCTTAGGGTTTTCATATGCCTTTGGAGTGCAATTCTTCTAAGCCTCCCAGGGCGATTGGATCCCATAAGCTTTGTACATTAATACATTTTCTACACAATTAGTCCTCAGGTACACAGAGGAAGCTCAGTAAATGCTTTTGAAAGACCTGAGTTCTATGTTTCTCTTGAAGACTTGGAAACTGGGTTGCTAACTGATAGGAGCCCTCGCGGTGACATTGTCCCTGCCAGTGGGTTGAGACTGAAGATCTCTTCTGCTGTCCAGGCTCAAGGTCTGCTCAGGGACTGACTCATGCTTCTGCTGTCTCTCCTGGTGGGCTGGGGACTGCGGTGGGAAGGGATGGTGGAGAGAATCCTAGCAGCCCTGTGAAGCTGACGGCTAGCTCCCTGTCTAGAGAGAATCTGGGTGTCATCATGGTCACCTCGTGGGAACATAAAATACATGTGAGCACAAAGCGAGGCCAGTAGCCCTGAGAGGAGAGGTGAGATGGGAAGACCAGGAGAGATGGGGGAGCTTACCTTCTTGACTTCATATTTAATGGCGAGTTTGATCCGGCTCAGACTTGGACGGTGGTGGTCGGACCAGACTTGGAAGTTCACATCACCATTTAAAATCGCTTCCACCTCTTCTGTGTCTCGGCACAAGTCCAGCACGCCCACTACAAAATCCTTGCATTGCATAGATAACTTCCTGTAATCGTTCTAACAGAATAAAGAGAAATCAGGGGTGTGTCACACAGAGCCCCGCAGATTGGCTTGCCCAGCACAGCAGTGTCGATCAGCAACTGCTCATCACATGTGAGCTTGTGGAGCACGTTGCTTGCACTTATGGAATGCAGCAGGATGTGCTGGGTGCAGAAGGCGGGGCAATTTCTCTTGACACGCAACCTGAAGGACATCTTCTCTAAGTCAGCCTGTGTGAAGGTGTGGTCCATGGGCCACCTGCAACAGAGTCATCTTAGGTGCATGCTAAAGTTGCAGATTCCCAGGTCCCACCCCAGACTTACTGAGTCAGAATGCCTGGTGGTGGGGCCAAGGAATCTGTCTTTTAACTTTGCTCTCTAGTGATGTGGTTGCCTGCTACAGCCCATCCTGGGCTCTTTCAAAACGGCAGTTTTCTATGCCCAATTCTGAGTCAGTTCTGAGGCAGGAACAATAAGGACATGAACTTTTAAGTCTGATGTAAATAACACTTCTCTTATTTACCACCAATCTATATTGGTGACTGCTGCATACAGGAATTTTACTGGAAAGGTGGATAATATGCTAAAATTGGAAAAAAAATTGCACAGGTGTGCTTTTTTGTGTGCCAGAAAATCGGCTTATAAATTATACATTTAAAAATCAAATGTAATTTAACTTTGACAGGATCTTTTCTTACTAGAAATCCTTTTGTGTGGCAAATCATGGCTCCTTAAATCACCTGCCTTTTGAATAAACATTTTTAGCCCTTGACCTTGTTGTTGTTGTTTCATATTTTTAATGAGCTGCTCCCAGATTTCTCTCTTCCTTTCCCTAGGTACTCCTGTCTGAATGTCTTTGAGAGGCTAACTTCCTTTCCTAGTGACATGCCGACTTCTCTTTCCCCTAAACAAACTACTTACATTCTAGATAAGGATCCAAAATGTTGGACAAAGAATGTTTGATGTTACCTCATACCCCTCCTCCCCAAAAATATTTTCCCCAGAGGCCTCCTTGCTGGTTTCTTAGTTGAAAGGAGTCTATTCGGAAAGTACACAAGACCCACATGTCACTTTCAATGTTAATCAATATCAACAACCCTCAGACTGCTAGATAGTAGTTGGCAAAAAGGACTGTGGTTGTGTTTTTCCAGAACATGGAGTTCTCAGCCAATAGTTGGGAGCCTGGCAAACTGCAGAAGCTCAGCCATTTTTCTGAGTTAATGATTCTTGTCTCCTTCCAGGGTTGCTGTATCAAAATGTCACTTTGCATTAGAGAAAGAGGTAAGTAAGTGTTTATTTGCTGGGAAAAGGGAAAAGATCAAGAAAATATTTTCAGGTGAGAGTAGCTGCCCTTCGTTTTTATATATAATTTAGGTAGAAGAAGGGAGTTTCAGAAATTCTGGCTGGAAAAATGACCTCTCGGCTCAGGCATGTAAGAAACTTGTGGGGTTCTAGGTTTTGGTACCTAGCACAGAGCTGGTCTGAAGTGTTAGGATTGGAAGAGCCATGCTCTATGCTCCTCCAACCCTGACACTCACTCATCTGCCATTCACTCATTCATTCATGCATGAATGCATTCATTCATCACTGAGAACCTACTATGTAGCGGACAATGAAAAATTAGTGGTGAACAAGGCAAGTCTCTGAGTAGTGTGAAGGAAGAGGAGGCTTGAGTTCCACCCTCAGATTTGCACAAGTACAAGGCTAAGTGAAACTTGCTCAGATCTTTTCCTGGCTAATATATTCTGCAGAGCACTGATAAGCCAGAGGTAGGAGGCTCAAGGTACACGGGGCTCAGCAACATGGACAAGGTGAATCATCTCACCACATGGACCCATTCAACTCTGGAATCTCCTCTGTGGCAACTCAGGTTCCTTAAGTTTCCAACTCCCACCCCGTAACTTTATTACCCCTTTTCTGAGAACAAGGAATCTCTGAATGTTAATGCCTATTACCAGTAAAACAGACACTGCCCTGTTGGCTAGAACATACCTCATTTCTTGATGGAAACTCCTGCCTAGAGCTGAAGTCATGGGTGGGTATAGGAGATAAAGTGAAAAGGAGTTGATCTAGCGCTTGTCCCAGGCTCCCCGTGCTACGAGCTAGTCAGGCTGTATTGCCCAGAGCTTCCTCACGTGTCTGGGTTCAGTGCAGTTCAGAACAGAAGGTGACACTTCATTAGAGACTGTCACTTCTCTGGGCTCTTTCAGCCAGCCTGCCACCAATAGGAGAGGCAACAGAGCAGCCAAAGCAGGTAATTTGCATTTTGCCTTCTGCATTAGACACTTGAGCTGGAAGGCAATAAGCCTTCTGCTGTCTGCAGTTGGCTAGAGGGGATAGCGAGAACCTAGGCCTGCCAGGAAGGAGATGACATGGACATGAATGGAAACAGAGAGGGCCATTGATGAACATCTCTGGGGAATTGTCATGATTATAATTTATTGAGCCAAACCTGAGCTCAATTAGCCTTCCAAGACACACTCCTCACTGTAATTGGAAGATGAGATACACCCTCAGGACTTCATAGGTGCCCTTTACATTTTAAAAAATATTCCTGAACACTGAGGTCTGCCGGTTCTAATGGGTGACAGGTGCTCTACCTGCATTATCTCATTCAATCCTTATAAAAACCCCATAATGGAAGGCTGATCACCATTTCCAACTTCCAGATGAGGAAAGTGAGACCAGAGAGATAAAGTAACAGGCAGATCTATGCTTTTCCTTATATCAGCCACTGATCTCTAGGTCCCTCTCTCACCTTCCTTGGATATTTAGCCCCTGTCCCACATCAGTCTCCTAACATGACTGCATTGTTATTCTTGATGGTTTCACTATCCTGGAAGATGACCCTCACATTCCCTGCCCTTTCATTTCCTTGACAGCCCGTTTTCTTTCTTTCTTTCTTTCTTTTTTTGAGACAGAGTTTCACTCTTGTTGCCCAGGCTGGAGTGCAATGGCGCGATCTCGGCTCACCGCAACCTCCACCTCCTGGGTTCAAGCAATTCTCCTGCCTCAGCCTCCCGACTAGCTGGGATTATAGGCATGTGCCACCACGCCTGGCTAATTTTGTATTTTTAGTAGAAACGGGGCTTCTCCATGTTGGTCAGGCTGGTCTCGAACTCCCAACCTCAGGTGATCCACCCGCCTCGGCCTCCCAAAGTGCTGGGATTACAGGCGTGAGCCACCGTGTCTGGCCAGACAGCCCATTTTCTAATGACCTTATTCTCAACCCAAATTCAGCCATTGACTCTCTTAGTTATTCAATAACTGCAGATCCTTCCCTACCCCAACTTCAAGTGTCCCTTCTCCAACCACCACCTCCTATATGTCCCGCTCACTTCCTCTTGGACCCCAACTCCAGCAATCCTTTGATTCCACCTGCCTTACAGCCACTGACTGTACCTCCTTTTCACTTGTTTTTTTTTTTTTTTTTTTAAATCCACCTTATGTCACTGTCTGTCTCCTTGCAGAGCTGATATTTCATGGTCAATGAAATGGTCTCTTTTCCTTCTTTTATTCCATTGTCCCCACTGGATAAAAGCCTGACCTTGGTTGAGTCTAACTCTCTACCAGTGTGTTCTCGCCTCTGCACAGTGAATGTGGCTGAGAACCCACAGCTGATCATTGTGCTGTATACTCTCTACCTCCAGCCTCAAGTCATCCTTAGTCTGGGCAGTTTACTCTCCTACTCTCCTAAATAGGCATTTCATATATTCTTCTTTCCTCAGTCCTCTAATATCTCCTTCTCCTCTCAGATAAGGACCTTGTTTCCTACTTTATCAAGAAAATAGAAGTCATCAGAAGAAAAGTCCCACATGTTCACACCTACATGCGTCTCTGCTTCTGCACTCTGTGTTCCCTCCTCTGGCTGTGGATGAACTGCCCCTGCTCATCTCCACGACCACCTCCTCCACTTACGTGCTGGATATCAACCTCTTTTGGCTACTCAAGGATGTGGCAATCTTCCTTTCTCTCTCCTGAATTCTCAATTTCTCCCTTTCCCTACTTGCTCATCATACAAACATGCTGTTATTTCTCCTGTTTTAAAAAGAAATTTCTCTTGGCCCCACTTCTCCCTTCAATGACTACCCCAATTTTCTATCTAATTTTATAGCAAATCTCTTTAATAGGGCTGTCTACATTTGTTGTCTCCATTTTGCCCTCCTTGTACCCTTTCTTGTCCCCTTCAGTAAGGCTTTCCCCTCCACTGACTACTGTGACTGTTCTTGTCAAGGTCACAAATCACATTCATGTTGCTAAATTCAATGGTTGGTTCCTAGTCCTCATTTTACATGACCTACCAAGTGCTTTAACGTAGTTGATCACTTCCTTCTCCTTGATACAGATTCTTCACTTGTCTTCCAGAATAACATACTCTTCTGTCTTCATCTTTTTTCTGAAAAACTACTTTTTGTATTCTTTGTTAATTCATTTTCATCTCCCTTACAATTTAATTTTTGGAATTCCCCAAACTGTGACCAGCCATTGGAATTCTTCTTTTTATCCATTTACACTGATTGCCTTATTGATTTTATCTAGTGTTATGAATTTCAATACCACCCATACACTGGCAAGTCCGAAATTTGTATCTTTCACCCACCTTTCTTCTCTGTATCCAATTACCAACTTTATATCTCCCCTTGGATGTCTAATAGGCATTTTGAACTTCATAACACTAACTCCTAACTCTGGATCGAGTCTCCTACCTTATTTAGTATTCCCCATTCTTTCAGTTGTCCTGGACAAAAATATATATATAGAATTTATCCTTGATTGCTACTTTCCTTTCGTAACCCACATATAATTTGGTAGCAAATCCTGTAAGTTCTACTTGCCAAATATATCCCTACCCTGATCTCTTTTCACCAATTTTACTATTTCTACCTTGGTCCAAACCATCATCTATTGCTTGGACTAACCCTACAGACTCCTAAGTCTCTCTGACTCTGTCGTTGTCCTGCATAATCCTGTGTAGTTGATTCTTAATACACCAGGCAGAGGAATACTTAGAAAAAGTAG